TAGAGAGAGTAATGTTAGAGTCAACGTTATTTATTTTTTTTGCATATGGGTTGCCTAGTTGTTTTGGCACTGTGGGTTGAAAAGACTGTTTTTTTTCTCCACTGAATTATTTGGTACCTTTGTTGAACATCAATTGACCATATATGTGTGGGTCCATTTCTAGGCTCTCTATTCTCACTACATCTATATGTCTGTCTTTTCACCAATATCATACTGTTTCGAAACCATAGCTTTATACGAAATCTTGAAGCCAGGTAGCGTGAGTCCTCCAACTTTGCTTTCCCTTTTCTAAATCGTTTTAGTTATTCCTGTTCCTTTGATTTTTGACATAGATTTTGGAATCTGATTGTCAGTTTCTTCCAACAACCTGCTGGGATTTTGTTTGAAATTGTATTGAATCTACAGATCAGCTTAATGTGATTGACATCTTAATGGTATTGCATCTTCTGATCCATGAACATTGCATATCACTTAATTTAATTAGGTCTTTTTTAAAAAAAAGATTTTATTTTTGCCTTTATTTTATTAAATTTTTTTTTTTCCTGTGGAAGATTTGCCCTGAGCTAACATCCATGCCAATCTTCCTCTATTTTGTATGTGGGTGGCTGCTGACAAGTGGTGTAGGTCCGTGCCTGGGATCCAAACCTGGGCTGCCAATGTGGAGTCCACTGAACTTAACTGCTAGGCCACGGGGCTGGCCCCAGTTAGATTTTCTTTGACTTCTGTCTGGACTGTTTGTGATTTTCAGCATACAAATCATGCACATATTTTGTTAGATGTATTCCTATACAATATACTGTTGTATAAGCTACTATTCAATAATTTTAAATTTCTCATTGCTTATTGCTAGTATACAGAAATACTGATTTTTTTGTATATTCATCTTGTATTCTATGACCTTGCTGAATTCTCTTTGTTAGTTCTAGTATCATTTTTGCAGATTCTTTAGGATTTTCTGTGTATACAGTCATGCTGTCTGTAAATAGAGGCGATTTTATTTTGTTGTTTCCAATTTGTATTTTATTATTGTGGCAAAATACATATAATATAAAATTTACCATTTTGTCCCTTTTTAAGTGCACAATTCAGTGGCATTTGGTACATTTACAATGTTATACAGTCATTATCACTAGCTATTCCAGAAGTTTTCATCACTCCAAACAATAGCCTTGCGCCCATTAAGAACTCACTTCTCATTCTCCTCTCCCCCGGCCCCTGGCAGCCACCCACGTGCTCTCTATCTCTGTGGCTTTGCCTATTTTGGACATTTCATATAAATGGAATAATAAAATATGTGGTCTTTTGTGTCTGACTTCTTTCACTTAGTGCAGCGTTTTCAAGATTCGTCCATGTTGTATCTTCATTCCTTTCTACGGTTGAATAAGATCCATCATATGGATATATCACTTTTATTTTATCCATGCATCCATTGACAGACATTTGTGTGGCGTCTGCATTTTGGCTATTGTGAATAATGCTGCTATGAATGTTCACAGACAGGTTTTTGTTTGGGCACCTGTTTTCAGTTCTTTTGAGTAGACACTTAGGAGTGGAATTGCTGATATTTCTATATTTAACTTTTTTTTTTTTTAAAGATTTTATTTTTTCCTTTTTCTCCCCAACGCCCCCCGGTACATAGTTGTGTATTCTTCGTTGTGGTTCTTCTAGTTGTGGCATGTGGGACGCTGCCTCAGCGTGGTTCGATGAGCAGTGCCATGTCCGCGCCCAGGATTGGAACCAACGAAACACTGGGCCGCCTGCAGCGGAGCGCGCGAACTTAACCACTCGGCCACGGGGCCAGCCCCTCTATATTTAACTTTTTTAAGGAACTGCCAACTTGATTTTCCCGGGGGCTGCACCGTTTTACATTCCCACCAGCAATGTATGAGGTTCCAGTTTCTTCAAATCCACACCAACACTTGTTACTTGCCATTTTTTTTGGTTATTGACATTCTGGTGGGTGCAAAGTGGTATCTCATTATGGGTTTGACTCACATTTCCCTAATGAGTGATGACGTTGAACTTCTGTTCACGTGCTTGTTGGCCGTTTGTACATCTCTGGAAGGAATGACACTTTTTGGTAGTGACCTCCACTACCTGTGTTGCATTGCCTGCCACCCCATCACTAACTAAGGATGGATGGGCCTTGGATGAAGACAAAATGAAGGCCGTCATCTTGAGGACTGTCTGGGCTCAAATGGATATTTCATAGCTTAGAAAAGACAAACTGTTGGTCCTGCAGCCCCTAACTGCAAAGGAGGTCCAACAAGGATCAGCCTTTACGGATCCTGGAGACACCATACCCCACAGGCAGAGATTTCTCTTAAGCTGATGCTGTGGTCCCTGACTCACGCATGTTAGACTCCTTGGTCCACGTTCCCCAAGGAGGAAAATGCACCTGAATTCAACTGATAAGGCTCACAGTGGGGAAAAGGAAGCTGAAGTCGCTTTGTGGGGTCAGGACTTTGGGCCAATTCAATGTGCTGTTGTGGCTTCCACTATCGAACTTATAATTGGTATTGATGTTTTGCATGTTCATACTGTGAATGTCCCATAAGTGTCAGATGATTCTCCCATCCAGGGACTATAGCACGTGTGGTCCTCTGCATGGTAGTCTACAGAAACGAGGCAGAATTCCAAAAGGAGAAAGGAAAATCGCAACTTTAATGACTTAGTGGTCTCCGGAGTGCTCGCAGAGGCCGTTTCCCTTGACAACAGCGCCACCTGCCAGATGCAGCCGCTATGTACACCCCTTTTAAGAAAAGGCGGCTATGAATTGTTATTAAGCTCGCCTTGAAGGGAAGGCCTGACTCCTGGAGACCTTGGATGTCCTAACCTTACACCTCCATTTTGGTGTAGGTCAGCTTGAACTTGACAACTAGTAAGGTCCAAAATGCTTAAATGTAAATGGTAATTCAAGAACACAGCCGGCCTGGTCCTCCTGTCATCTCAGTTTTGCAATGGAAAAGTAGCAGCTACCCCTTTGAGGGGAACTTTATCCCCTACTCCACTGCCTGAAACCAAGCCGCTGGCTCAGTGGCGCCTCGATCCACAGACATTCCCATAAGTGGCCGGGCCTGGTTCGCTGCTGGTTGGCTAAGTTAAAATCTGGTGGGGCCGGCCCTGTGGCCAAGTGGTTAAGTTCGCGCGCTCTGCTTCGGCGGCCCAGGGTTCGGATCCTGGGCGTGGACATGGCACCGCTCATTAGGCCATGTTGAGGCGGCGTCCCACATGCCACAACTAGAAGCACCTACAACTATGTACTGGGGGGATTTGGGGAGAAAAAAGCAGGAAAAAAAAAAAGAAGATTGGCAATAGTTGTTAGTTCAGACGCCAATCTTTAAAAAAAAAAAAAAAAATCTGGTGGTGTCCACTAGGGTCCAGCAGCCGTTCAACCCCAAAGCCAACCGCAGAAGCCAGATTGCAGGCAGTTGATGGTTAAGGTATTGGCTGGGACTTTCTCCTTTCCCTCCGTACACTGGGATCTGGTATTATTGATTGTTAGAACAGTTTCCTCAAAAATCTGTTCAAGAATATATTCCTGATTCTACATTCCTCACCTCCTTCTGGTCCACACACCTGAGGCAGTTTGGTCCCTGAATGTGGGTGTTTCCAGAGAGGCTTCCTCTCTTCTTGGTTGCCTCCTGGATAGTGACTGAGACCAAAATTGTAGGGATTCATACAGACCTGTTTTGAAAATTAAGGATTCTGCCCCATGACTATTCTTGGGTCATCTTTCTTTCTTTCTTTCTTTCTTTTTTTTTCTTTTTTTGGTGAGGAAGGTTGGCCCTGAGCTAACATCTGTGCCCATCTTCCTCTATTTCATATGTGGGACGCTGCCACAGCATGGCTTGATGAGTGGTGTGTAGGTCCACACCTGGGATCCGAACCACGTGAACTTAGCCACTATGCCACCGGGCCAGCCCCTTGGGTCACCTTTCTTTCTTCTTGCTGGACAGCCTGGTGGTTACATCCTCCAGGTGGCAGCCTGGCCCAAAGTGGGCTAACTAAGAAGTTCAAACTAAATTCTGGTATAGCCACCAGCATTCCCTTTGTGGCTTGACATGGCCCTAGGTCAGGGGTTGGCAAACTACGGTCTGTGGGATAAATCTGTCCTGTGAGCTAAGAACAGTTTTTACATTTTTAAAGAGGTGTGAAAAATAAGTAACAAAGAAGAATATGCAACAGAGACCACATGTCCTGCAAAGCCACAAATATTTATTATCCAGTTCTTTGTAGGAAAAATTTGCTGACTCCTGTTTTGGTTGAAACTACTTGCTGACACCACCCATGTGGCTTCACCAAGTCAATGGAATGGTCATCCAAATCAAGGTCAACAACCAAACTCATGCTGCAGGACTGTCCAGCAGAGATACCTCACCCAATGCAGCCCAGTGCAGGGGGCTGGAGGCTTCCACCCCACATCCACCAAGACCACCAACCTCCCCTGCGGAAATTAATAGAAGAAACCTTAACGAAATTGGAGTCAGGAAGGCCTGTAGGGGGAGCTCTCACGCCCTATCACACATTAGTCAATTACACCAAACAAGAAGAGAGGGACAGTTGCATCTTTGATTGGAAGTAAAACTACTTTACTACTGAAGGAAGATTTCTCTCCCCACCCGGCAACAGCTCAGCCAATGAGAAACACCACAGCTCAGCCAATGAGAAACACCACAGCTCAGCCAATGAGAAACACCACAGCTCAGCCAATGAGAAACACCACAGCTCAGCCAATGAGAAATGCCACAGCTCAGCCAATGAGAAACATCACAGCTCAGCCAATGAGATATGCTGCAGCTCAGCCAATGAGAAATGCCACAGCTCAGCGAATGAGAAATGCCACAGCTCAGCCAATGAGAAACACCACAGCTCAGCCAATAAGAAATGCCACAGCTCAGCCATTGAGAAACATCACAGCTCAGCCAATGAGAAACACCACAGCTCAGCCAATGAGAAACGCCACAGCTCAGCCAATGAGAAACATCACAGCTCAGCCAATGAGATATGCCGCAGCTCAGCCAATGAGAAATGCCACAGCTCAGCCAATGAGAAGCCCCGTTGCCTCCCTGAACTGTTCCTTTCCCCCAATAGACTTTCCTTAGAACAGCCCCTCAGCCTCCCCCTTTTTCTCTATAAAAGCAGCTCCCCTCCTTTGTTCTCTGGATTAGCCTATGGTTTGCCACAGCATGCACATCTTGAATTGCAATTCTTTTGGCTTTTCCAAAATAAATTCATTTTGAGGGTAAAATGCCAGGCAAATTTGCTTTTTAAGTTGACACCTCATACAGAGAGGTCACCTCGCATGTCTTTGCTTTCCCCTCCAAGCTTGTGGGAATGCCTTAGAGTGGGGAATGTAGGTCACATGACAGCACTCCAGCTGTAAGGGTCAAGAAGCATTTAGCCTGGTAGGGACATGAAAAATGAAAGGACCCCAGACTAGGAGCCAGAAGACTTTGATCCTCTTGTCGCCTCAATCACTGACTGGTTGCTTGACCTCAGGGCAGTTTTCTTCTCTGAGCCTCCTGCAGTATCCACTTCCTGAAAGGAGAGGTGGGTGGAGGAACCCAGCAAAGGGCCTGTCTGTTGCCCTGTCCAAGTATTAACAAGAGCACAGGGACTTCTCGCAGCGCCTGGAACAGTGTCCTCTGTGCCAGGACTTCTCATCCCCCAACTTCTCACAAAAACAAACTTAGAGCTGGATCTCTACCTGACTTAGATGCATCACCTATGCTGGCTTTTATCTTACTCCCACCAGACGCTTGGTGATACCTGGTTCATGGTGGCCCGTCCTGGCTCTGAGAGGTGAAGAAAGACATAGACGTGAGGGTGAGGGTGGAAGGGGGACCAGGCCTACTCTGCTCAGCTCCAGTTTCCCGAGCTGGGTCACCTCAGACCCAGGGTCCCTGGAGAGCAAGGGAGGAGGAAGGAGGTGAGAGGCTTGGGTGTGGGGAGGCCGTGGGGCCTTTTGCCTCTGACCCTTTCAGGGCTCTCCAAATGAGGCTGTAGAAGCCATTACACTGGGGATGCACGAAGAAAAATTTAGAATTTCTACTTATGTCTATTTTTTTAACCAAAACAAGCAAAACAAGTTAAGCTTTATTGATATTAAGTATGTAGAATGACAGTACTTCACATGTAAATTTTCTACATATGTTGGGGATATTTTCTCAAATTGTCGTCACTGATAGGGGAGTGTGATAAAGAATGTTTAGCGATCTCCCAGGTAAACAAAAGGTGTGAAGGGCAGGCGAAGACTTGGGAAGTGATTGGGAACCAGAGTGAGTGGTGATGGGAGCTGGCACTGATCCCCACGGTCAGGACCTTTGGGGGTTGGGAGGTAGGGAAGAGTTTTTGCCCGGGAAATCACTAGGGGGTGTGCCTTCTAGAAGGCACCTCCACTCCCTAAGCTGCCTTAACTCCGTGTGACATTTGAAGAGGCTGGGTAGTGTTAACTATTCCCGTAGACAACCTAATAAGCTCCAAGTTCTCCAAGACTCCTTGGTCCCTAGCCCACGGAAACCATGTGACCCACCTCCCAGGGCCCAAGTGGCTGAGAGACTCTGCCGGAAGTAAGAACGAAGCATAATAGCCAGCTGGAGAGGACCTCCACACCGGTGCTGTTCCAGCATGCTAGCCTCTTGGTAGCAGGAGTGAGATGACAGTCGTGGGACACATTGGTCACCAATTACCAAGTTAGATTTAGGGATTAACACACCTTCTGGATTGAGTGATACTGACGGTTGCAAAGTTACCCCACAGTTTGGCTCAACTCCAGGACAAGGAGGGATCTAGAAACTCCGTATCTGTGTCCCGAAGGCAGAGAGAGATTGGGGTCACCACGCTGGATACTCAGTTCACCAGAGGTTGGCGATTTGGTGGATGTGTGTGTGGGAGGAGGCTGACATCTGAGCTGCTCACGAAAAGAACGCTATGCCCACAGCCTGTGCTTGGGGTCCCAGTGGACCGATTTATTGGCCCACAGAATTGTTGCTCCAGATCCATTCTGAGAGGACAGTCCTCGAGAAGTTAGCCAGCCCACTGATCCAGGTTGGTTGGGAAGTGGGGGGTTGGAGAGAACACTGTCTATCTCCATGACAACTAGGGAGGTTGGGTCCTAGAAAGTGCTGTGATGCCCATCACCGTTATGCCAAAATGGTGCCCCCACTTCACAGGAAGAAAGGGGGCACTGGGTCCAACCCTGTGAGCAGTTCAGTTGATTTCTTCTGAGGTCTCCAATCCCAGAGAAGAGTGGTCCACTTAGCAGAACTGATACTATTCCAGGAGAGGGAAGAGCTCCCGAGTTGTCCATTTCCTTCCAAGGCCAAATAAGTGATGTCACCGGTTGCTAGGAAAGTTGTCCACGTGCCCCTCCCCCTCCTTTCTGGTAGAACCAGTTATTCCTGTAGCAAAATGGGCACTAATGTGGACAGTTATGGGGTGGATTTGCTGCCTTGGAAAAAGGGGTGGTGTCAGCAGTTACTGAACAGATTTCTTGTGATTTTCTTTGGTCTCCCCGTGCTTGTCACTGTTGTCTATTTCTGTTGAGATTGGGCTCACCTGCCTCGAAGGGACTAGGCTGGCACTCCTTATGGACAACATGGAAGTCAGGGAGGAAATGCGAGGCAGGCTGAGCCAGGAAGAGTCCTGACTGGTCACACTGGAGGGCAGGTTGGACTGACGTAAGGGGACCACGTCCGGCCCCTTGTCCAAGGTCAGGCTGAACGCTTTCAATGAGCTCTCGCTGTTTCCCTCCTGCATCTTGAAGTTGGACTTCACCAAGCGGTGCTTAGGCCATGCGAAGTGCTTGATGGGGGCCAAGGGCATCTTTTTGGACAGTGGCTTTTCAAAGCGTTCAGAGGCAATGTGGTCCTGGAGGTGCCACCACTGGTAAAGTGGGTGGACTGGGATTGGCAGAAGCGTGAGGATGCTGAGGAAGGTGACCCAGCCCAGGGTGTTCTGTGGGTAGGGCTGTTTTACCTCCTGGGTCTGGGGGCAGAGAGAGCCGGGGGCAGGCGGGGAGGAAGAGGCAATGGTGGCAGGGTTTCAGTTCATGTGCTCCTGGGGATTGGATTCCCCAGGGGCTGAGAAGCTGGCTAAAGGGTCCCTGGGGACAGTAGGAGCCCAGACCTAGGATCCTGTGGGGGGAGATCTGATAAGGGGTCCCCAGAGTGAGAGTGGCAGGCCAGGGTGGGGGAACCTCACCACGCTGCTGTTCCAGGCAATGTAGTAGGGGGGTACCCTCTGGTAGAGCTGGATGAGGCAGATGATGAGGAGGGCCAGCAGCCCGGGCAGGGTCATGTAGCACAACAGGAAAGTGAAGAAGGACCACAGAAAGTGGCCCAGCTCACTCGATATTTCTTCCCTGAACCTGGGGTGGAGGCGATGGGCAGGGACGTCTGGAAAGGAGCTCTCCTCCAGCCACCAGGGCCTGGAGCGCTTGGGAGGGTTGGCTCACCAGCCCTCTGGTTCTCTCATAGGTGTTCAATGCTTTGGGCCTGCCGAGGGCTGCCAGGTCCTCCCTGAGGCTGGGTACTGCCTCTTTTCTCCGCTTGGGAATCCCCTGATCCAGGGGGGCGCACCCCTCCAGCCCTCTGCCTTCAGATTAGCTCATGTGGCCAATGGTGGGGGAACCTGAGTCCCCTGGGTCCTGACTGCTCCTTCCATCAGGACCACCTGGCTGCCCTCTGATCACTCCCACCTGCACTGTCGTGCTCTGAGCTGGACCTCCCTGCTGTGGGACGGACAGAGGGGGCAGATCACCCCCCAACTCTTCTCAGAGACCTCGGATGGGGTTCCTGGCTGGGCAGACCCCGGGGCTTGGACATCACCTTTTAGCTCCATAGATCCAGGCCAGGGCCACATTCTGGAAGGCCACAATGGTGATGAGGGTCAGCGGGACCAGGCGGTCATCAAACAAGGACATTATGTAGCTGCCGGGGCGACTGGTGAAGACGAAGCTGCCCAGGAAACCTCCCAAGCAGACGACTGCTAAGGCAGAGGCAGGTTTGGCCACACTGAGGTGTATGTGTAGGGCTGGGTCAGGGGTCGAACGAGCCCTGGAGATTGGGGGTGACCTGGGGACTGGGGGCAGCAGGGCAGGGTTTTCACTGGGGTGAGAATCCGTGGTACCTGAGAGCAGCTGGGGATAATTCCTGAAGATGGAGTTCTGGAAGGGAACAACAATGCCTTCCAGGATTCTTATCAAGGTGCTCAGCTCTGTGACGGCAAGCGTCAGGAAGAAGAGGATGGCCCAGAGGGAAGAGGCAGGGAATAACGAGACGACTTGGGAGAAGGCTGCGAATGCCAGGCCAGGGCCCTCCATGAACTGTGGGGGAGAAGGCTCAGAGGCAGTGGCGGGTCTGGAGCGGGGGGAGTGGTGCCGTGATGGAGTAGCGGTGGCAGAGGAAAGAGGCACAGAGCGGGGGGTGGGTGGCGGAGGGCCGAGCGTTTCCCTTTCTCGGTTTTGTTAGGCGTGTGAGCGCCAGCTCCTGGGGCCTCAGTTTCCTCCTCTGACAAATAGGGATCCAAAAGTTGAAGTGAGAATTGAAGTAGATAACTTAGCAAAGGCCCTGGCACATACGAGATGGTGATGGAGACGTGACGATCACTGTTACTTCCTTCAGAAGATGCTGAGGTGGCCCACAGGCTCCTGGGAAATACATTTCCCAGTGTCCTCTGGGGCCTGTGGGAAGCACCCTCCTGCCCGCACAAACACACCTTTTCCTTCTGCGCTTTGATGCTGCAGGACGGGGAGAAGCGGATGACCTGGTCCTGGAGGTGTCGAGGGAGGTTGCTGATCCAGTCTAAGTAATCCAGGGGGGGCTGAAGCAGGATGTTTTCTGGGGGCTTAGCATCCTGAGGCAGCACCCCGTCGTCTATCAGCTTCATCAGCTTTGAGACGCCCCTGAAGGGGAAGCAGAGGAATGGAAAGGGGATGGAGAAAATAACATGAAACATGAGCATTTCTTTGCGGAAAAATATGTTGTTTTGTGTGTATCATCATTTACGTGTCATGGTGCTATAAAGAGTTTCGTTATTTTTTCCCCTCAATTTTTTGGCCATATCTCCATGTTGCTGAACGTAGAATGAGTTTCTTGTTTCTGACTACTGCACTGGACTGTGTAATCCATATTTACGATCCATGTTTTATATGTGATTCCCCAAACAACGAGGCCGCCTCCCATGATCACAAACGTCGCCACGATGACCACCCGTTGGCGGGGCTGTGTGAGACTTTCTCTGGGGTATATACTTGGGAATGTGGTCACTGGGCCATACATACCAGGCTTACTTAATTTAAATGCTGCCCAACACTCAGCTCTCTTCTATTCTCCTGGTTAGAAAGCTTCTCTGACAATCTACAGCTCCACGTTTCCTTATCTAGCCTTGCGACTCAAAGCGGGCTCTGTGGAGCCGCAGCGCCACCTGGGAACTTGTTAGAAACGCAGAATCCTGAGCCTCCCCAGGAGATTCCTAAGGCCCATTATGGTTTGTGAAGCTCTATTTGACAAAGGACAGGGGGCTCCGGTGGCAGTTCTTCTAGGACCACCCTGTCCAATATGATAGCCATTAGACACGCAGGGCTAAGCAAAAATTACTTACAATTATATAAAATTAAAAGTTCGGTTCCTCAGTCTCATTTGCCATATTTGGTCACATTCGCCACCTTTCAAGTGCTCAACAGCCACACGTGGCTGGTGGCTACCGTATTGGACAGTGCAGGTGTAGAGGGTTTCCGTCAAAAAGAGCTATTTGTGACACTATCTATTGGGCAGCACTGCCCTAGGATACAGTGGCTCTCAGTCTAGGCTGCTCATTGGAATCACCTGGGAGCCTTTTTAAAAAAAAACAAAAAACAACCGTTTTTATTGAGCTATAATTTACAGACACTAAAAAGCACAGATATTAAATGTACACTTCAATGAGTTTTGACAAATGACCCATGCAACCAACACCACAATCAAGACACACAATATTTCCACCACTCCAGAGAGCTCCTTTGGGCTTCTTCCCAGGCTATTCCCTCCACTCCAGAGGCAACTACTGACTTCCTTCACTACATATTCGTTTTGTGTTCTTGGATTTCCTATAAATAGATTCATACAATGTGTAGTCTTTTGTGTCTGGCTTGTTGCATTCAATAAGATGTCTGAAATTCATCCATGTTGTTGCACATGTCCATAGTTCATTCCTTTTTAATGACGAATAGTATTCTGTTGGTTGAATGAATTTACTAAGATTTATCTGTTCACTTTTTTTTTTTTTTTTTTTTTTTGCTGAGGAAGATTGGCCCTGAGCTAACATCTGTGCCAATCCTCCTCCACCAGCATGGCTGGTGAGTGGAGCAGGTCTGCACTCGGGATCCAAACTCGAGACCCCAGGACACTGAAGCTGAGTGCATGGAACTTTAACCACTCAGCCATGGGGCTGGGCCCCTGTTCACTTCTTTTTGTTTTGTTTTGTTTGTGTTTTTGGGGGTTTTTTTTTTAAGGAAGATTAGCCCTGAGCTAACATCTGCCACCAATCCTCCTCTTTTCGCTGAGGAAGACTGGCTCTGAGCTAACATCCATGCCCATCTTCCTCTACTTTATACGTGGGACACCTGCCACAGTATGGCTTGATGGGCAGTGCGTAGGTCTGCACCGGGGATCCCAACCGGCAAACCCTGGGTCGCCGAAGCAGAACATGCGAACTTGACTGCTGCACCACTGGGCCAGCCCCCTGTCGTTCACTTCTTGACGAACATTTGAGTTGTGTACAGTTTGGGTCATTATGAATAATGCTGAAGCCAAAATGTCTATAGATGGGATGAATGTTCATTTCTATATGTCTTTTTGTGGCGTGATTTTCATTTCCCTGGGGTAAGTAGGAGGGGAGGGATAATGAGTTACATGGGAAGTGTATATTTATAAGAACCGCTAAACAGTTTCCAAAAACGGTCATATCATTTTACACTCCCACCAACAATGCATGAAACTTCCAGTTGCTTTACACGCTCACAAACACTTTACAGTTTGTCTTTTTAATTTTAATGATTCTGGTGGGTATTAAAGTGGGATCTCATTACGGTTTTACTTTGAATTTCCGATGATTTTCAACACCAATGATATCGAACCCTTTTTATATAAGCTTACTGGCCATTTGCATATGTCCTTTTGAGGGCAAGACTTGCCCATTTTCTAATTGTTTGGTTTTGTCTTGAGTTGTGGGAGTTCTTAAAATATTCTGGATAAAAGTGATTTATCATATACATACATACGTGTGTGTGTGTGTGTGTGTGTGTGTTAGTTATTTTCTCTCGGTCTGTGGCTTTCCTATTCATTTTCGGAGTGGTGCCTTTTGCTGACCAGAAGTTTTAAATTTTGATGAATCCGTCTTGGCACCTTTTCTTTTATGGTTCTTGCTTTTTGTATCCTAGTTAAAAAAAAATCTTTGTTAAGCCCAAGGTCATAAAGATATTCTAAGTTTTCTTCTAGAAGCTTCATAGTTTTAGTTTTTACATTTAGATCTTTGGTTCATCTTGAATTAACTTTGGAGTTTGGTGTGTGGTAGTGAGCAAAGTTTATTCTTGTCCAGGTGGTTATCCAGCTCTTCCAGCACTGTGTATTGAAAAGACTTCCCTTTACCACGGGATTGCTTTGGCATCGTCAGTGAAAATCAGCTGATCACACATGTGTGTTGGTTTATTTTATTTTGTTCTGTTGATCTGTTGGTCTGTCCTTAAGCCAATGTAACACTGTCTTGATTACTGTAATTTTATAGTAAGTCTTGAAATCCAGTAGTATGAGTCTCCCACTTGTTCTCTCAAGATTGTTCTGACTATCCTAGGGCTTTCGCATTTCCATATGCATATTTTAGAATCAGCTCATCGATTCTATGGTAAAGTTTGCTGGGTTGCGAATTGCCGTTGTGCTGGAGCTATCGATCAGTTTGAAGAAAACTGATATCTGAACACCAATGACTCTTCAAATCCATGAACGTAACATAGCTCCTCATTTGTTTAGGTCTTTAATTTCCCTTAGCAATGCCTTGTAGTCTTCACTATGGAGATCTTGCACATCTTTTATGAAATTTAGCCATACTATTTGATGAGTTTTGACGCTATGGTAAGTGGGTTTGTTTTTTAAATTCCATTTAACTATTATTTGTTGTTAGCTTGTAGAAATATGATTATTTTTGTATGTTGACTTTTCTTGTATGACTTTCCTAAACGCACAGGAATCCTAAATGTTGATTCCTTTGGGTTTCCTAAGTACGGGCTTATGCCGTTTATGAATAAAGAGAGTTTTACTTCTTTCTATCCAGTCTCTGTGCTTTTTATGTTTTCTTCTTGCCTTTTCTTCACTGGTTGGGAACTTCACTATGATGTTGAACAGAGATGATGGAAAGGTATCCTTGCCTCGTTTTCAATATTAGGGGAAAGTGTTCAACATTCCACCGTTAGGAATAATGGTAGCTGTGTTTTCGTTGTTGTTGTTGATATTCTTTACACAATGGTTCTCAGCTAATGGTGATTCCCTCCAGCCTCCCTCCTCAGGGACATTTTTGGTCGTCGCAGTTGAAGTGGGGGGTTGACACTGGCATCTAGTGGGTTGAGGCTGGGGATGCCGCTCAACATTCTACAACGCACCAGACAGCCCACCCGCCAACAAGGAATTATCTGGCACAAAATTCCGATAGTGTCGAAATAGAGAAACTCTGCCTTAGCTGATGGAGTAAGTTCTGTTCTACTTCTAGTTTCTTTGTTTTGTTTTTTTTTCACGAATAGGTGTTGAATTCTGTCAAATCCTTCTTCTTCTTAATCTGTTAATGTAGTGGATTACACTAGATGGTTAATTTCTGGGATAAACTCTCTCACTCATAATGTGTATTATTTGTTTTATATAATATGGACTAAATTTGCTAAGACTTTGTTAAGAATTTTTTCATCTGTGTTGATGAAGGGTGTTGTTCTGTAATTTTCTTTTCTTATAATGTCCTTTAGGTGTCTTGGTATCAGGGTTATGCTGGCCTCAAAAAGAGAGGTGGGAAGTGTTTCAGCTTCCTTTCTTACCTGAAAGATTTTGTGTTGGGTTGGTATTATATCCTCCTTGAATGTTAGATAGACTTCACCAGTGAAGTCATATAGGTCTAGGATTTTCTTTCTTTTTTTTTTCTTTTAAAGATTTTATTTTTTCCTTTTTCTCCCCAAAGCCCCCCGGTACATAGGTGTGTATTCTTCGTTGTGGGTTCTTCTAGTTGTGGCATGTGGGACGCTGCCTCAGCGTGGTCTGATGAGCAGTGCCATGTCCGCGCCCAGGATTCGAACGAACGAAACACTGGGCCGCCTGCAGCGGAGCGCGCGAACTTAACCGCTCGGCCACGGGGCCAGCCCCAGGTCTAGGATTTTCTTTGTGAGAAGGTTTTAAACTATAAATGTAAATTTTAAGCCCAGAAATGGGGGCCATTTAGATTTCTATTTCTTCTTCTGTCAATCTCGATAATTGGTGCCTTTCAAGGAGTTTGTCCATTTCCTTTAAGTTACTGAATTTATCAGTATAAATTTGATCGTAACATTTCTTTATTATCCATTTACTGTCTACAGGATCCATAATGATGCTCCCTTTTTTTATTCCTAATATTTTAAGTCTGTATTTTCTTTCTTTCTTTTCTATCAGTTGCTGAGAGGGAATTGTGGAAATCTCCAACAATGATTATGGATTTATCTGTTTTTTTTCTTTAGTTCCTAAAATTTTTTATTTTGAAACTCTGTTATGGGTGCATAAACATTTATATAATTCGGTCTTCCTGCTGAATTGACCCTTCTATCATTATGAAATGCTCTTCTTAATCTCCAGTATTACTTTTCTTGACTTTGTTTGATATTCATATAGCCACACTGGCTTTCTTATGATTATGTGTTTGCATGGTATGTTTTTCCATTCTCTTACTCTAAACCTAACTGTGTCTTCATACAGGAGATCTCTTGTAAACAGGATATATTTGAGTTTCTCATTATCTAGTCTGACCATCACTGCCTTTTAAGTGGGGTGATTAATGTAATTATCGATATGGTTTGGTTTACGTCGACCTTCTTGCTATTTGTTTCTCTTTGTCTCCTCTACTCCTTTGTCCTCCTTTTCTGCCTCTTTTTTGGTACTTATCAGATAATTTTTTGCTTTCATTTTATCTTCTTATTGCCTTTTGAGTTGTGCCTCTTATTATTTTGTTTTTTGATGATTACTCTAGAGCTGTGCTGTCTAATACGGTGGCCACGAACAAGATGTGGCTATGAGTACTTGAAACAGGGTGAACATGACTGAGGAATTGAATTTTAAATTTTATTTAATTTTAATTAATTTAAATTTTAAAAGATAGGTTATTCGGTTATTGGAAAACTTTTAAGTATGTTCGGAACAATAGGGTTTCTGAAAGTACTTTTTCAACTGTATGCTTTTATGAAATCTAAATACAAACCCTTCAGTCAAGAATTTTCTTAAAAAACAAAAGGGCTGGCCCGGCGGTGCAGCGGTTAAGTGCGCACGTTCCGTTTTGGTGGCCTGGGGTTCGCCAGTTTGGATCCCGGGTGCGGACATGGCACCACTTGGCAAGCCACGCTGTGGCAGGCGTCCCACGTGTAAACTATGAGAAGATGGGCATGGATGTTAGCTCAGGGCCAGTCTTCCTCAGCAAAAAGAGGAGGACTGGCAGTAGTTAGCTCAGGACTAATCTTCCTCAAAAAAAAAAAAAGGGAATTTTCTTTAGTGTTCTCTTGGTATAGATTTTCTGGTGATGAATTCTCTCAACTTTATCTGACAATGTCTTCATTTCACTTTCATTGTTTAAGGATACCTTTAATGAATATAGAACTCTAGGCTGAGATCCTTTCAGCATTCTAAAATATTTAATTCTATTGTCTTCTAATTTCTCGTTCCTAACAAGAAGTTAGCTATCGTTCTTATCGTTGTTCCACTGTATGCAATGAACTTTTTAATTTTTTGATTTCTTTAAACATTTTCTACTTCTATGTGGCTTCCAGAAAATTGACCACAATGTGCCAAGGTGTGATCTTCTTTGCGTTTATCCTGCTCAGGATTTTCTAAGCTTTTGAGATCTGTGGGCTGATGTTTTTAATAAAATCTGGAAAAAACCTGCCCATTACTTAAAAAATTTTTTGCCCCAATTCTCTCTCCAATTATATGTATATTAGTCTTACAGGTCACTAATGTTCTTTTTCAGTTTTCCTCATTTTTTTTTTCTGTCTGTTCTTCACTTTGTGTAACTTCTATTTAGCTGTCTTCAAGTGCACTGACCCTTTCTTCTGCTGCTTCCAAGCCATATTAAATACATCCAGTGAAACTTTCATTTCATTTACTTCTTAAGTTCTAGAACTTCTACTGGGTTCTTTTTTAGACTTTTCTTATCTTTCCTAAAATATCTCCATTATCTTCACATACTTCATTCCTCTTTTCTATTCAATTTCTTAACATATTTATAACGGTTGTTTTAAAGATTTTATTTTTTCTTTTTTATCCCCAAAGCTCCCTGGTACATAGTTGTATATTTTTAGTTGTGGGTCCTTCTAGTTGTGGCATGTGGGATGCCACCTCAGCGTGGCTCGATGAGCGGTGCCGTGTCTGGCCTGGGATCTGAACTGGTGAAACGCTGGGCCACCGAAGTGGAGCCTGTGAACTTAAGCACTTGGCCACAAGGCCAGCCCCAACATAACGGTCGTTTTAAAGTACTTGTTTGTTAATTCTAATGTCTAGATGATCTTTGGGTCTTCTTTTTTCTCTTGGCTATGGGTTACATTTTCCTGATTTTTGGAATGTTTTGAGATTTTTAATTTTATGCTGGACATCTTATATAGAAGAACAAAGGATAAAAGTATATTATTTGTTTTATTTTGTTTAGTCTCAATAAATGTAAGCCTTCTAGGCAACTAGGATGAGGGCTAATAATTTATATTTTTCTAAGAGTTGAGTTGAACTGGGGCTGGGTGACAGTTTTAGTTAAGTTTTTCTCTGCCTTCATATGGGATTAAGGAAAGCTCACTTTGCCCTTGAGCCACGTCCCCAACTTTCTGCACCACCCCACCCCCCCAGCAGGGACTAATTCCTTTGATGTTGTCATAATTTGAGTTGGAATGGTTAGATCGTAGCTTTTGATGTTTTTGGTTTATCTTTGTGTTCACCTCTGGCGGGGCCATAAATCTGAACCCCATAAGACTGTACACATTCCCTCTGCTTGCTGGCCCTGACTCCACGGCAGCTTCTGCCACTTCCTCAACGCAATTCGTGGGAATAGAGTGAAGGAAATTGTTAGGCCAAGCAATTGATTTGTGTTTTGGGGTCTCTTTGAGATTCCAATATCTCTTGGCAGCCCAAACTGTAGTTAAATCCTTGGGTGGTCTCTTCTTGTCTATGCAAAGTCTCTCCACCTATGACAGGCCTGCTTCTCCACCCACCTGCACCCAGATTGGGCGCTCACCCCCAGATAGACAGGCACTCGGGACTCTCTCCTCACTTACGATGGGCTCATTGCTCTCTAGGATTTAGTTCATTACAGCTTCTTTGTGTCCACTGCTCTTCAATAACTTTATAGGAAAGTAAGATTTTTATTTTATCCATTTGAAAAATTGCTGCTACCATGAGAGCACGGACTTTTGGATCCTTCAACATCCCAACTGAAAGAAGAATTCTGCCTTAGAGCTTTTAAAAATCCCAGTGCATGAATGCACCCCAGATCAAGTAAATCAGCATCTCTGGGGGTGAGACTCAGACATAAACATTTTTCTAAGGCTGCAAATGATTCCAATATGAAGCCCAGGCCAATAACCACTGATTGTGGCTCAGAACGCTCTAACAGCCTTCTTTATGAGTTAAATAACTGATTTTGAAATCTTCTTTACACCTTTTGCAATTTATGCAAATCTTTGGACAGTCATGTCTCTGAGACTATTATCTATAAAGTGGTGGATGTTAGAATATTTCCTTTTTGGCTATTTTCTCTGAGAACAAATGTGATATTATTGTTATTATTATTGTTGTTGTTGTTGTTGTTGTTGGAGAGGTTTGAGTTTGAAGGTCCATGAGGCTGGGGGGTTGCTAAGGTAGAGGGAGGGGGATCTCTTCTTGGACCTGCAAGGCTCTGATTACTCACTTCTCAACACAGGCGTGGCCACTGGTGGCGGCCCAGAATCCCAGCACTATAAAGATGATGGATGTGGCCAGCAATGAGGTCACCAGGTTGACCAGGGCCATCAAGGAGGCCACCTGGGCATAGTTGCTGCCTCCAGTCTTGCAGGAGGACAAGTTGATGATGGTGCCCATGCCCAGGCCCAGGGAATAGAGCACATGGCTTCCTGCCTGACGCCACAGGTCCAGCGAGGCCCAGGCAGAGAGCTGTGGATAGGGGTAGGTGAGAGAGTTGGAGAGTGGGCTTAGATGGTGGAACCACCAGTGAGCTGGCAGAAGGGCAGGCTGGGTGGAGAGCAGAGGAATGAGAGGAAGGCTGGGGGCAGAAGGAAAGATGTAGGGGAAGGAGACTCAGGGAAGGCCTGGGGAGGTGAGGGAGGGAGAAGGGTTGGAGTCCCCGGCCTCACCTCTATGGTCACCATACGTCTGAGGCTGGCAATGGCACCTTCCAGAAAAAGACTTCGGATGAAGAGGCAGAGGAGGATGTAGAGGAGGAATACCGAGAAAATCAGCATCTGGTCAGGTGCGTCATGACAAAAACCAGAAGTCAGGAGAAGTGGGGAGGAGGGGAAGACAGAGGCAAGCATCAGCAGGGGACTGCAGGTCAGCGGGAGTAGAGAGATGGAGGTGAGCAGTGTTAAGGTGGCCCAGAGGTAACAAGAGGGGGCTATGGGAGGACTATTCTAGGGAGGCGACAATGTTGTTTGGGAAAAAAAATCCACCCATTAATTGCTCAGGAGTAAGGGGTGAGGCCCCAAGTAAAGATGGCTTTTAAGTGGTGGTGCAGTTGGACACTGCTAATTCATGGGTCTTGGTTTTATGGCCTCTGTGTGAGCTTAGGGACAGAAAGTACCAAGGGGAGAGGAGCCAGTGAGGCTGAAGGCTGCATGGAACTTCATAGGTGAAGGGGGAGAGAAAGAAACTGAGAAGAGACTTTAGGAGAAAGGAACACGGTTAATAGGAATTTTAACGTTTTTCTGCTCTGGGATGGGTGAGGGAAGCCCCCCGGCCCCCACCCCAGTGCGCTCTCCTAAGCCTTTAGTAAAGTCTGCTTTTGTGTGAGTGGTTTATTCTGGAGGCCGTGAAGAGATGGTGAGTTGAGTTTCAGGGATGCGTGGGGTGAAAGTTAATGGCTTGCATAGACGCAGGTGAAGTTAACAAAAAGGATCTACACACTGAAATAAATTTTCCATGTAAGGAGATTATCCAGGTGCCAAGGGGATGGATTGGAAGTATGGATTGGGATAAAATTCTCTAAATGGGAGACTCTGGAAAGGAATCAGTGCCAATTGGCTCCTTTAGGGGTTAACAGGCACTGTCAAACTGCGGGAAGGTGGTGGATGCAAGGCTCAGGGGGTGAGGCTATGGTCTCATCTCAAAGGCTGCCTGTAGGTCTCCACACGCAGTGACACAGGGATGAGGGATGGTGAAGAGGGAGTTGGGTCCATACAAGGCATTCCTTCATGTCATGGATGAGAGAAGAGCAGTTCCTTGGGAGAACAGTGGTTGACACAGCTGCCTGGGGAAAGGACACCTCCCTGAGGATCCCTGATGGAGATGCTGGGTGGCCACATCTGAGCTTGTCCTCTGGGTGGGTGGAGGGTCATGGGGCTTGGAGAAGAGAGTTGGAGGGTGCCGGGGCAAAGAGCCTGAGGATCTTTGGATTTGCAAAGGTGAAGTGGCAGCGGGATCAGTGGTCAGGGGTGGCTTACCGGTATTGATACCTTTAGCCCCGTAATCATGATTAAGAAGAGGAGGAACCAGGCTGCGAAGATGCCCAGGGTGAGGTGCAGGACGAGGGCCTTGACCCCTTCCTCAATGTGGCCTGAGGCACTCAGGGTGGTGTGGTACCAGAAGTACTGGTGGGACACAGTCCGAAGGCAAGAGAGGTCTGGAGGGACCCAGGTGCTTAGGCACCACCTCACCTGGTGCCTGCCCCTGCTCTTCATTTCCTCCCCTTTGGCTCTCACTCCTTGGTGCCCCTGCCTCCCTTGGCCCTGCTGGCCCTCTCTCTCCCTCTCCTCACCGGTGACATTGATGTTCTTCACTAGTGGGCACTCGTTCCAGGGCAGAGGGTGATCAAAGGAGTGGCTCAGGTAGGAGAGGCTCCAGACAATGATGACACTGTTATACAAGCTCACCAAGATGCACACCTAGGGGTGGATACAGTGGGCCTGACGGGCAGGATGGGCGGAGACAGGGGACCTGGAGACCACACGGGGTGAGCTGGAATGCCTCTTGGCTGGGCCCCTCATTCACCATTATGCTAGCGTAGCCTATGCCGCCCAGCCAGGGGACGAGCTGCTTCCAGATCCGGACGTTGTCCACACGAAGCCATTGCTCCATGATCATCTCAATGTACAAGAGGGGAATTCCAAACAAGAGGAGCATGAAGAAGTACACCAGGATAAAGCTGCCTGAAGAAGGGAGCCAGGAGCTGTGCTCAGGCAGCTAGGAGTCCTGGCCCCCCTCCTCTTTATCATTTAGGAGTCTGGGTACCCTCCCCTGAGTTCTCTCCTTCCCCAGGATGCAAGAGTCTAGGTTCCCAGCCTTCAAACTTCTTCCTTAAAACTCAGGATCCAGGTCCCTGGCCTTACCTCCTCCATTCCGATGACACAGGTAAGGGAAACGCCATATGCTGTCTAATCCGATGGAGAAGGCAATCTGGATCATGGTGATCTCGGTTCTTTTAGTCTGAGTGAAGCAGTTTTGTGTCTTGGTGGCCAGAATCTCCCTGGTCAGGCGCCTCAACGATTGGGACACGTAAATTCGGGGTTCTTTGGGGACCTCTTCGTCTGCTATTTCTTCAAACGACTCCATGACTTTCTTCTTACAGGCCCACTAACTTCTGAAGGAATCTTGGGGTCACCAAGAATAGGAGACTTTAAGGGACATGTCTCAGATGCCAGACTGCAAAATTCCATGACAACTAGGGCTTTAGAACAACGGAGGCCAGAGTTTAAATCTTGGCGCTTCTCCTCACTAATTACTTACTTTGGGCAAGTAACTTCATCCCTCGGAGACTCAGTTTTTTTCTTACATCTATCTTACAGGCATAAATGAATTTAAAAATATTTACTAACTGTTATAGCATGAGCACTGGCCAATCAGAATACATGCCAGCTATAAACACCACAGTATCAGCATAACATCAGCCCTTCCTGAAAGGACTAAAAATGATCTACTGGATACTGAGGGGCCGGCCTGGTGGCGTCATGGTTAGGTTCACAAACTTCGCTTTGGCGGCCCAGGGTTCACAGGTTTGGATCCCAGGCGCGGACCTACACATGGCTCATCAAGCCATGCTGAGGTGGCATCATACACACAAGATAGAGGAAGACTGGCACAGATGTTAGCTCAGCAACGATCATCCTCAAGCAAAAAGAGGAAGATTGGCAACAGATGTTAGCTCAGGGCCAATCTTCTTCCACACACAAAAAGATATACTGGATGATATTGAATGCACGTGGATGGGAAGAATGAACATAGTTAAAATGTCCATACTACTGGGGCTGGCCCCGTGGCCGAGTGGTTAAGTTCGCGCGCTCCGCTGCAGGCGACCCAGTGTTTCGTTGGTTCGAATCCTGGGGCGCGGACATGGCACTGCTCATCAAAACCACGCTGAGGCAGCGTCCCACATACCACAACTAGAAGGACCCACAACAAAGAATATACAACTATGTACTGGGGGCTTTGGGGAGAAAAAATAAAATAAAATAAAATCTTAAAAAAAAAAAAATGTCCATACTACTTAAAGCTATTGACAGATTCAATGCAATCATAATCAGAATCCCAATGACATTCTTCACAGAAAGAGAACAAAGAATCTTAAAATTCATATGGGGTAACAAAAGACCCTGAATAGCCAAAGCAATCCTGAAAAACAAGAACAAAGCTCGTGGTATCGCCATCCCAGACTTCAAAATATACCACAAAGCTATAGTAATCAAAACAGCATGGTACTGGTACAAAAACAGGCACACAGATCAACAGAACAGAATTGAAAGCCCAGAAATAAAACCACACATCTACGGAGAGCTAATCTTCCACAAAGGAACCAAGAACATCCAATGGAGAAAGGAAACCCTCTTCAATAAATAGTGCTGGGAAAACTAGACAGCCACATGCAAAAGAATGAAACTTGACCATTATCTTTCTCCATACACAGAAATAGACTCAAAATGGACCAAAGACTTGAAGGTAAGACCTGAAACCATAAAACTGGAAGAAAACTTAGGCAGTACACTCGTTGATATCAGCCTTAAAAGGATCTTTTCGAATACCATGTCTCCTTGGACAAGGAAACAAAAGAAAAAATAAACAAAGACTAAAGAGCTTCTGGAAGGCAAAGGAAACCAAGATAAAAACGAAAAAACAACCCACCAACTGGGAGGAAATATTTGCAAATCATGTATCCAACAAAGGGTTAATCTCCATAAAATATAAAGAACTCATACAACTGAACTACAAAAAAAACAAATAACCCAATCAAAAAATGGGCACAGGATATGAACAGACATTTTTCCAAAGAAGATATACAGATGGCCAATAGGCACATGAAAAGACGCTCAACATCACTAATCATCAGGGAAATGCAGATCAAAACTACACTTAGATATCATCTTACACCCATTAGAATGGCAATAATCACTGACAAAAAATAACAAATGTTGGAGAGGTTGTGGAGAAAAGGGGACCCTCATACACTGCTGGCAGGAATGCAAACTGGTACAGCCACTATGGAAAACAGTATGGAGATTTCTCAAAAAAGTAAAAATAGAACTACCATATGACCCAGCCATCCCACTACTGGGTATTTATCCAAAGAACTTGAAGTCAACAATTCAAACAGACTTATACATCCCTATGTTCACTGCAGCATTATTCACAATAGCTAACACGTGGAAGCAACCCAAGTGCCCAATGACTGGTAAGTGGATAAAGGAGATGTGGTATATATATTCAATAGACTACTACTCAGCCATAAGAAGACAAAATCGTTCCATTTGCAACCACATGGATGGACCTTGAGCATATTATGTTAAGTGAAATAAGCCAGACAGAGAAAGACAAACACTGCATGATTTCACTTATTTGTGGAACATAAACTTATGGACAAAGAGAGCAGTGTAGTGGTTACCAGGGGGAAGTGGGTTGGGGGGTGGGCCAAAGGGGTGCAGGGGCACACTTATATGGTGTCTGACAAATAATGTACAACCGAAATTTCACAATGTTACAAACTATTATGACCACAATAAAAAAACAAATTAAAAAAAAAGTTATACTGGTTATTGAGCGCCAAGGACACACCAAACTTTATTCAAGCCACCCAGGTTTCTTTTCTTTCTCCTTCTGGTCTGCTTGGAACTGCTAATGCACATAGACTTCTAGACCAGTGGTTCCCAAACCTGCTGTCTATTACAATCACTGGAAGGGCTCTCAAAACATAAAGACTCTCGCCTTCTATTTTCCTAGCTTCCCTCTTCCACATTCTGATTCAGCAGATCTAAGGTGGGACATAGAGCTTGGTAGAATTAAAAAGTTTCCTTGGGGTTCTAGCCTTGGAAAGGCAGCATGAGAGCGCTAGGGACTCGTTCCCTACTCAAACAAGCACACTTTGTGAAAATTATAAAGAAAACATTTAAGGTCTCTGGAAATTGTCCTAAAGGCATATAGCAAGTTAAGAAACATTTATTTAAGAAAATCTACTAAAAGTCAATAAGAAGAGTGAGTCTGTGACATTTGAACTACAGCCTGCTCCCTCCCTCCCCATCCCTAGCCCAGTGTTATGGAAACTCCACGCCAGGTGGATTCATCCAAGAACACAGGGTTCCCTCTCTTCCAAGATCCCACTCAAAGGCTACAGTATCTTCCCAGGAGGGGCATGCCACCTGCATTTCTCATTCCTCTCCAGCTACAGGCTGCAGCTCACCAGTAAAGTGGAGGTTACATGCTAGGAGAGGTCGGTAAGGTGGAGGTTACATGCTAGGAGAGGTTAGTAAGGTGGAGGTTACATGCTAGGAGAGGTCGGTAAGGTGGAGGTTACATGCTAGGAGAGGTCGGCAAGGTGGAGGATACATGCTAGGAGAGGTCGGTAAGGTGGAGGTTACATGCTAGGTGAGGCAAGTCAATAAGACCAGAGGCTAATGTCCCATCCAGCACCCTGCTCCTAAAGCTCTCAGGGAGAAGCAGACCACTGTCCCCATCCAGCTCTGGAGATTTTGCCCAGGGAGAGAGGCAGGACTTAAGAACAAACAGCTCTTCCCAAAAGAACTGACTTTATTTGGAAGAGAGCGTGAGGAAGCTTAAGCCTACGGGTACACTAAAAAATAGTGGAGACTTTGGCGGTAAGCAACTAAGAGAAAGCTGGTAACTTCATGAGAGACATAAGATAAGCTGTAAGCCAGCTCATACACCAGAGAGAAGCAGGGAAACAGCAGCTGAGAAGACCCCTCCCAGGGTCAGAACAAACCTCAAACACTGAATTCAAAAACTACTCCTGTAAAGGAGCCCAAATTTAATTGTATCAGACTGTGGAGCAATTTATGCTTCAGAGCATTGTCAAAAACAATAGAGCAATCAGCTGGACGTTAGAGGATCCTAGAATCTGGGTGTGATCAGGGAAAAAGAAAAAGAGAGGGGCTGGCCCCGTGGCCGAGTGGTTAAGTTCTCGCGCTCCACTGCAGGCGGCCCAGTGTTTCGTTGGTTCGAATCCTGGGCGTGGACATGGCACTGCTCATCAAACCACGCTGAGGCAGTGTCCCACATGCCACAACTAGAATGACCCACAACGAAGAATATACAACTATGTACTGGGGGGCTTTGGGGAGAAAAAGGCAAAAAATAAAAAAAAAATCTTAAAAAAAGAAAAAGAGAGCTCTTCTAAAGCAACTGTCATCCCACGGTGACGGTGCATGCTCAAGGTTGTGACCTTTGAGGATTATACACCATGACCAACTGGGATTTATCCCAGCATGCAAAGTTGGTTTAACATCTGACAATCAATTAATGCAATACATCACACATCAATTGAATAAAGGACAAAACCTATGTGATCATCTCAGTAGACACAGAAAGCCCATGTGACAAAATCCAACAGCCCTTAATGATAAAAACACTCAGACTAGACACAGAAGGAAATTTTCTTAACCTGATAAAGGGCATCTACAAAAATCTACTGGTAAAGTAACACTTAATGGTGAAAGACTGAGTTCCTTTCCTCTAAGATCAGGAAAAAGACATGAGTATCTTCTCTCACCACTTCTATTCAATATTGTACTGGAGGTTCTAGCCAAGGAAATTAGGCAAGAAAATGAAATAAAAGACATCAAGATTGGAAAGGAAGAAGTAAAACTATTTCTATTTCTGTACCGTATAATCTTGTATGGAGAAAATTCTAAGGCATCCGCTAAAAAATTATTAGAACTCACAAGTAAGTTCAGCAAAGTTGGAGAATACAAGATCAATATAGAAAAATAGGTTGTATTTCTATACATTTGCAATAAACAATCTAAAAATTAAACTAGGAAAGCAATTCCATATATGATAGCATCAAAGAGAATAAAATAGCTAATAATAAATTTAACAAAAGGACAAAACTTATACTCTGAAAACTACAAAACGTGTTGAAAAAAATTAAAGAAGATATAAATAAATAGAAAGAAACCCAAACTCATGGATCAGAAGACTTAACATTGTTAAGATGGCAATACTTTCCCAAACTGATCTACGGAATCAGCATACTGCATATCAGAGTCATAGCTGGCCTCATTGAAGAAAATGACAAGCCGATGAGAAAATTCATATGGAAATTCAAGGGGCCCAGAATGGCTAAAACAATCATGAGAAAGAAGAACAA